CACTCACCTCAGCCTCCCAAAGGCGCAGGATTACAGGCTGAGCCACCGAGCCCAGCTTCAGTTCAGATTTTTAAAGGTTATTTTGCTGTGGTTTCCTCTTATTTCCCATATTGTTTAACCTTACATATCCAATTACTTATCCAAACACCCTACATGTGATAAAAGGTCAGACTAAAGACAAGTGGTTTACTACCCAGTTGGATAAGCACACCTTATTTTTTGTTTTTGCAAGGTAATCTAACAGCATTGCTAAGAACTGAGAAAAATAATCCCAGCAACTCACATATATAAAGCACTAGTTATGTGCAAGACTATGCTAATCACTTTGTAAGTATTATGTCACTGAACTCTCTTAATACGATAAGGCAAGTAGTGTTATTCCACTTTAAAGATGAGAAAATTCAGGCTGAGAAGTTAAATAATTTGTTTACGGTCACAAAGCTAGTTGAGTTGTGGAGCTGAAAGTCAAACCACCAGACTAGATTCTAATCTTCACTCTGCTGTTTTTTTGATGTTCGCTGCTCACAGCAACCTTGACCTCTTGAGATCAGGCAATCCTTCCACCTCAGCATCCTAAGTAGCCTGAATTACAGACCTGTACTTCCATGACCAGCTAACTTTTAAGTTTTTTGTAAAGACGAAGTCCCACTACGTTGTCCAGGCTGGTCTCCAACTCCTGGGCTCAAGCAACCTAGCTGCCTCAGCCACCCAATGAAATTATTTTTTTTAAGTTCAGGCTGCAATGGTTTCATGAAGTCCACATGTAGATCACTGTATAAAGGCATAGTAATTACTAGAGTCTCCCCAGTGTGAATCAAGTTGAGGAAAAAAGAGAGAACCCGATTTATCTCTTTATTTCTTTCTAACTTTTTTTTTTTAAGTTGGAGTCTCACTCTGTCACCCAGGCTGGAGTGCAGTGGCGCACTCATGGCCACCGCAGCCTCTACCTGCTGGGCTCAGGTGATCCTTCCGTCTCAGCCTTCCATGTAGCTGGAACTACAGGCATGTGCTACCACACCCAGTTAACTTTTCAATGTACTGTAGAGATGAGGGTTCACCAAGTTGCACGGGCTGATCTCAAACCCATGGGTTCAGACAATCCTCTCACCTTGGCCTCCCAAAGTGCTGGGATTATAGGTGTGAGCCACCGCACCCAGCCATTTCTTTCTAACTCTAAAGATAATGCAGTTTAACATTACCTCCTTCATGATAGACAATTTTGTTTTCTCAAGATTTGAAATTTCTGGTTTCTGCTTCCTCCATTTTCTCCTCAAAGCTTTTTCTTGGAGTTCCCAGTGTGCTAATGCTCTATTCTTTGATTTGTGTATTTCATGACGACGCACCTGTATAGAAGGAAAAAATATAGAAATGTTTCAGGTACAAAGAAGTAGCCTACTCGGATGGTAGAATCACCTAGTCTAGTTCATCATGTTTTAAATTTTTCTAGTCTAACGTATTTGTATTTATATATATTCAGAGCCAAAATTTTCAGTCCTCTACATTTTCAAAAATGATCTTAAAAGAAGTATCTAGAACTAGTAGATCTAGCTAAAATACATACTAAATATTATTAGCTTTTTTCTTTTTCTGTAGAGATAGAATTTCCCTGTGTTGTCCAGGCTAGTCTCAAACTCCTAGCCTCAAGCAATCCTCTTGCCTTATCTTCCAAAAGTACTGGGATTACAGGCATGAGCCATCATGTCTAATCCTGAAAATATTAATTTCCACTTCCTTTGTATAAGACTACCCAATAAGCTACTGTTTCTCAAGCCATAAGTCGGGACTTATTTAATAAGTGGTACAAGCAGTGAGTCAAAACTGGTATTTTAAAAACATACACACTGACTGAGCACAACGTAAAAGGTACAAAACGTACTGAGTCGTCTTTGGCAAAGAGACATCTATTTCACAACAATCACACCACTACTAGAACTAACAATGCAGTGATTTGATAGCCCTGCAATGACTTCATGTGGAAGTAAAGTGGATCCTGGAGATGTAAAAATCCAGGGAAGAGGAGTTCCTGAAGAGAGGAAGAGATCTGGGCTACAGATCTTAAGAGTTAGAGGGGAGGAGTTCACTGAGGTGGCAAACTAAATATGCATAAAATGATTTATTCTCTGAAATTTGCTTTAAAATGTTTCAGTGAAGGAGAGAAATGTGACGAGTGAAGCAACTATGGCAAATCGGCAATGACTATCATATCTGGGCAAGCAGTACATGGGAGTTCTTCATATTTTTGTCTCTACTTTCATTTGAGTTTGAATTTTTTTTTTCCTGGAGTCAGGGTCTCACTCTGTCACCAGGCTGGAGTGCAGTAGCATGATCATGATGATCACTGCTCACAGCAGCCTCAACCTCTTGAGGTCAGGCGATCCTTCCACCTCAGCATCCTGAGTAGCCTGAATTACAGGTCTGTACCACCACGCCCAGCTAACTTTTAAGTTTTTTGTAAAGACAAGTTTTCACTATGTTGCCCAGGCTGGTCTCGAACTCTTGGGCTCAAGCAACTTGCCAGCCTCCGCCTTTCAGTGAATTTTTTTTTTTAATTCAGGTCTCACTCTGTCATCCAGGCTGGAGTGTAATGGCACAGTCATGGTTCACTGCAGCCCTGACCTCCGGGGCTGAGGCGATCCTTCCACCTCAGCCTTCCGATTAGCTGAAACAACAGGCATGCATCACCACACACTGCTAATTTTATTATTTTTTTAGAGACAAGGTCTCATTTTGTTGGCTGGTCTCAAACTCCTAGGCCCAAGCAATCTTCCCACCTCAGCCTCAAAGTGCTGGGATTACAGACGTGAGCCACAATGCCTAGCAGTCTGAAAATTTTATTTAAAAGATATTAAGTCAGGTGGGCATCATTACTACCCCTGATAAATATTTAATGAGCACTTACTAGAATTAAGACACCTAGGTACACAAAGATAAATAACATATGCTCCCTATCTCTCAAAAGCATTAACAATCTGCCCGAGAGATTGGGCATATCCATATAAATATAAATGATATGCATTAGAAGTCATACACTCAATACCTTATTTAGGTAATAAGAACCAACAATTCAGATGAGATAACTTAAGTTGTTTCAAAAAACAAGACTCAAACTACTACAAAACTACAATCATCAAGACAGTGCAGTACTGGCATAAGGACACATAAATCATGGAATAGAATTGAGAACGTAGAATAAATCCTGGTACTTATGTACAATTGATGTTTCAACAAGAATGCTATGAAAATTTAATGGGGAAAAAATAGTCTTTTCAATAAACACTGCTTGGACAATTAGATATCCATTTGCAAAAAAAAATAAAGTTATAACCCTACCGCACACCATGTATAAAAATTAACTTAACATGAATCAAAGACCTAAATAAAAGAGCTACAACTAAAAAATTCAAGATGAAAACACAGGAGTAAATCTTTGAAAACACTGAATTAGATAACAGTTCCTTAGACATGACACTCAAAAATTCAACTGACAAAAAGAAAAATAAATAAATTGGATTTCATCAAAATTTTAAAATTTCAAGCTTCAAGGACACCATCAAGAACGTGAAAAGACAACTAAAAAAACAGGAGAAAAAATTTTAAAATAACATAAAACAGGAGAAAATATTTGCAGATATAGCTGATAAGGAAGTTATATTCAGAATTCAACAGTAAAAACACAAATAATCCAATTTTAAAATGACTAAGGGATTAATAGACATTTCTTCAAAGAAGATTCTACAAATGGCCAATAAGCACATGAAAAACATCATTTGTCATGGAAATGCAGATCAAAACCCAATGAGACAGCACTTTACACTCACTAGGAGAACTAAAATTAAAAAGCTGACAATAACAATAATGTGAAGAAATTGGAGGCCCCATACATGCTGGTGAGAATGTAAATGGTGTAGTCACTTTGGAAAACAGTTTAGTGGTTATTCAGAAATTAAATATGGAGATACTATATGGCCTAACAATTCCACTCCTAGAGATATACTCAAATGAACTAACAGCACATGTTCACACAAAACATACATTCAGTCGGGCTCGGTGGCTCAGCCTGTAATCCCGCACCTTTGGGAGGCTGAGGTGAGTGGATTGCCTGAGCCCGCAGGTTCAAGACCCACCTGGGAAACTTGGCAGACAATAAATCTCTACAATAAATCAAAAATTAGTTGGGCGTGGTAGCGCACGCCTATAGTTCCAGCTACTTGGAAGGCTGAGGTGGAAGGATCGCTGGAGCCCAGCAGGTCAAGGCTGTGGTGGCTGGGAGCGGCCACTGCACTCCAGTCTGGGTGACAGAGTGAGACTCCAACTCAAAAAAACAAAAAAAACAAAAACAAAAAAACTTGTACATTCATGTTCATAGCAGTAGTATTCATAATAGTCAAAAAGTGGAAATGACCCAAATGTCCACCAACTGATCAATGGATAAAGTGTATCCACACCATGGAATATTATTCAGCAATAATAAGAAATAAAGTACTGATACGTTCTACAACATGGATGAATCTTGAAAACGTTATGCTAAGTGAAAGAAACTAGACACAAAAAGCCATATATTGTATTCTATTTATATGAAATGTCCAGGATAGGAAAATCCACAGACATAAAGTAGATTAGTCATTGCCATGAATTGGAAGGAGGTGGGCTTAGGGAGTGACTGTTAATAGGTATAGGATTTCATTTTAGAGTAATGAAAACATTCTAAAAATAGATAATGATGGCTGCACAACTCTGTGAATATACTAAAAACCACTGAACCATATACATAGAAGGGTAAAATTGTGGTGAATTATATCTCAATAAAGCTGTTAATAAAAACTATAGTGATAATTTTTTAAAAAGTAGGACTTAATTAGAATAAGGAAGAAAGACTTGGACAGGTAGAGAAGGAGGAAGGGAAACTATTTCAAGTAAGGAAAATGCATGACTGGGATTCATATGTGGAAATATCCATAGCATGTTCAAGGGATAAATTATTACACTGACCAGACCAATGTGTTTATATAGGGAAGTAGTAACAATTAATGCTAAAGATATCTATAGACAAAAAAGACAGATAGATGTGTACAGGGCAACACTAGACTAGATGGACTAGAGAGATCTGAGCTATTAACCCAACCTATGCAATGAAACTCTAATACATACTAATTGATATTCTTAACCAAAATCACTAAGTCCAGAAGACAAGCTTTTTGATTTTATATAGACATAAGCTAGGTTAAACATAACTGAACAGCTTCCAGGAAGTGTCTGTCATTTCTATTCTGAAGGTTGGAACTGGATAAATGAAATACTGAATAAATGACTTAACTTTTGATATTAAACTTACCAGATCTTCAGGAGTTGCCCGATGAACAGTTAGATCATTCACAGTACTCTGTAAAAAAAAAAAAAAAAAGATAGCTTTTCTTTAAAAAAAAAAGTTACCTTATAAAATATTAGCACTTACTGACATAAATGGCTGAATGGTTTCAAAATCCTGGGACCAAAAATACGTTCTTTTCAGGAACCAGTACTTTCCAATATAAATATTATCACAGATTACTTTTAGGTGTCTTACAGAAAATAAGCACTGTATTTATCAAGCAAGCATGTATTATATTAAAACAATGAATAAAAGAGGATAGAATATATTCAAAAAGAATAAATTTAAAGATTAATTTGCAAATTGTACTCCATGGAATTCCAGGATTCCATGAGGCAACTCTAAAGATTCCTAAAAGAAAGTGTGATCACCATAGAAAGGTTCAATTTATGTATTCAAACACCTTAAGCATAGAACCTAAGGTGGGGCACCTTGGTCACACTGTAATCCCAGGTCTTTGGGAGGTCAAAAAAGTAATAATGCTTGTGTCCAGGAGTTTGAGACTAGCCTAGGCAAAATAGCAAGACTGTGTCTCCAAAAAAATAAAAATTAGTCAGGCATGGCTGCATGTCTGTAACCCCAGCTATTTGGAAGGCTGAGGCAGAAGGTTCACCTAAGCCTAGGAGGTCAAGGCTGGCATGAACAGTGATTGTGCCACTGCCATAATCATGCCACTAACCTCTAATCTGGGTGACAAAATGAGAACCTAAGATGAAAAAAAAGAAACAGAAAGGGGGAGGGAGAGATAGA